GGGTGGCTTAGTCAGTTGAGGGTCCGACTAAGGTCATGATCCCAGTGGGGTTGTCGGATTGAACCCCATGTCGGGCTCTGTGCTGAGCGTGGGACCTGCTTGGATTCTCTCTGCCCCTGCCCCCCACCATTATGTGTGCACGTGCTCTCTTTTTCTCTGTAAAGTAAAAAAACCTTTTAATGACATTTGGTCTGGTGGGAATAGTGAGGTGATTTGAACTAGAAGAAGGGGGCTGAGGACAGGAGTTCTAGGTAGGGTGAAATCCATTCCAGCAGTACTCTCACTCCCACATGGCATGATATGGGCAAATTGAGTTTATGGTGCCCTATTTCTAGGAATGGTTGGTGGAAAAGCCCAGTGTGACTGAAATACTGGGAATGGGGATAGAGCTAGTTACCTGTATATTTTGTCTGTGTGTTTTATTTATTTCAACTGTTCTTCTGATAGTGTCTTTATATTGCAAATTTTGAGTCAAATGAGAAGGGGAATGCCAGGAGATAGGAAGATTAGATAATAGTTTATTCTCTGGGTGTAAAAAAGGATCACTCTGTAATGAGGGGACCTGGAACTGTTGAGGGATAGATTGACTATACTGAAAATAAAGAACGTAAGCTTATAGTGACTGGGATTCCTAGCCCCTTACCCTGTTTTGCCTACTAGAAATCTTAATGCTCTTTAGGCAAGAGAATGGAATATTTGGGTAATCTGACTTGCCCAGGAAAGAACTTTAAAAAAAAAATAGTGATAGGGAAGGAGTTCCGCAGTGAAACCACCCAGTCACCGTGCCCTGCATAAAGGCCCACAGTAAATACACCCCATCCGGGTGTGTAGACCTTCTGACTAGCTAAGTCTTAGTACCCTATTCCTGGCCAAGAATCACTCAAAAGAAATGTTGAAAGGAAACAGTTGGGGGAAGATCTAAGGATAAATTAATGCATAGAAAACCAAACCAAATGAAAAAGCAGGACAACTTTTAAATACAGAGAAAAACAAAGTTATACAAGAAAGAGAAAGTTCATGGAGCACAATTAAAAGTCTTAACATACTGTTAACACTGCTGTATGATTCATGAAAGTTAAGAGAATAAATCCTAAGAGTTCTCATAGTGGAAATTTTTTTCTTTTGCTTTCTCTTTTTATTGTATCTGAGGTGGATGCTAAACTTACTGCAGTAATCATTTCACAATATGTAAATCAAGCCATTATGCTGTAGGCCATAAACTTACATACAACGATATGTATGTCACTTATAAAACTGGGGGTGAGGGAGTCAGCATGGATAGTGAATAAAAACTGAGAAGGGGTGATAGGACTCAGTAGCATAGCCAGTGAGTGTAGAATTCTAATGGGTGAGCTGAATTCTAATGGGAAGTCATTAGGTAAGATCTAAATTAGATAAGCTCTAAAGAGAGACCCCTGTGCTTCAAAATTCAACTTAAAGCTTCTTGTATTTATAGTGTATTAATTATAATTAATATTTATATTAATATTGTATTAACATTATTTACCTTTGTGTTCAGTATTTTGAACACAGTATTTTTTTTTTTTAAGTTTATTTATTTTTGACAGAGACAGAGTGCTAGCATGAGCTGGGGAGGGGCAGAGAGAGAGGGAGACACAGAATCTGAAGCAGGCTCCAGGCTCTGAGCTGTCAGCACAGAGCCCGACGTGGAGCTCGAACTCACAAACTGAGATCATGACCTGGGCTGAAGTCGGATGCTTAACCGACTGAGCCACCCAGGCGCCCCAGTATTTGAAATCTTATCATAGGTAAATTTTGTATGCATTATGTAATTTAATCTTTATTAGTCATGTGAAGTAGGTCTTATTGCCCACCAGATATTTAAAAAAAAAAAAGCCTTGGGACACCTAGGTGGCTCAGTCAGTTGAGCATCTGACTCTTGATCTCAGCTCTAGTCTTGATCTCTGGGTTTTAGGGTCATAGGTTCGAGCCCAGGCATGAGGCCTACTGGAGAAGAAAAAAAAAAAAGCCTATTTATGGAATACTGGGTTCCAGACACCTGGGTGGCTCAGTTGGTTAAACGTCTGACTTCAGCTCAGGTCAGCTCAGGTCATGAGTTTGAGCCCTGCATTGGGCTCTGCGCAGGCAGCTCAGAGGGTGGAGCCTGCTTTAGATTCTGTGTATCCCTCTCTCTGCCCCTTTCCTGCTGATCCTCTTTCTCTGTCAAAAATAAACATTAAAAAAATTTTTTTTTAGAATACAGTGGGTTCTGAAATGCATACATTAGTGAATTTTGAGTCTTAGAAATGGGAAAGCCCAAGCTGTTGCTTGGCTTCCTGAAATAAGAGGATTCAGATGATCAGTTTGTATTGTTCAGAACTGCGTCTTAATTGCAACTTTTTTTCTTTCCTAAATAAAAAATTGTACCATTTAAAAAATTTGAAACAAACTGCAAAAATATGTCCCACTCTAATGTGTATTTAAGTTTTTTCAGATAGGTGTCAGTACTGTTCAATTTAACTAATTTACCCAACGTATTAATGTAATTACTGCCTTCTCTATTGGTCACATAATTGCCCACTGGGCCAGTAATAATCTCTTCTAAAAATGATGAAACAGGCACAAAATGCTGGTAGGATTGATTGGCACTGTGCTTGATTTTTTTTTAAATTTTTTTTAATGTTTATTTTTGAGAGAGAGCAAGCGACAGAAGCAGAGACTGAGAATCCTAAGTAGGCTGCTGTTAGCTCAGAGCCAGAGGCAGAGCTCTATCTCATGAACCGTGAGATCATGACCTGAGCAAAATCAAAGGTCAGATGCTCAATCAACTGAGCCACCCAAGGCGTGCCACCTGTTTTTGTGCTGGCTGTATTGTTGAGGATTTCTTTCTTTCTTTTTTGTATCTTTTTTTTTTTGTATTATTTATTTTGAGAGAGAGCACAAGCGGGGGAGGGACAGAGAGAAGGAGAGACAGAATCCCAAGCAGGCTAATAATCCGCGTCATTAGTCCAGAGCCCCATCGCACCCCTCGAGATCATGACCTGAGCCAAGATCAGGAGTTCCACATTTAACGACTGTGGCACCCAGCACCCCTGTTGAGAATTTCTTAAAGATTCTTAACTGGATAAGAAAACTAACCATAATATGCTATTTTGGGGGGTATTCAAGAATGATCTGCCAAACATTAAGAGCCTTAAAAACATTTCTAGCCTTGGGGCGCCTGGGTGGGTCAGTCCATTGATCCTTGGTCTTCTGGCTCAGGTTATGATTCTCACAGTTCGTGAGTTCAAGCCCCACATGGGCTAGCTGCTGTCAGCCTGTCAGCACAGAGCCTGCTTTAGATCCTCTGCCCCCCCCCCCCCCCCCCCCCCCCCCCCCCCCCCCCGCCAACTCTCTGCCTCTCCCCTGCTCATCCATGCATGCGCGTGCGCTCTCTCTCTCTCTCTCTCTCTCTCTCTCTAAAATAAATATTTAAAAATACTAAAAAAACATTCCTAGTATGTTTTTTTAACTGGTAGTTTTAAGTTTGTCCTGTGGAACTGTTTTATGTATTTCTGTTTATAGTGGGCATGTTAAAGAGGAAGCACTTTAAAACATTTTTTTTAATGTTTATTATTTTTTAGGCAGGGGGAGGAGAAGAGAGAGAGGGAAACACAGAATCTAAGCAAGTTCCAGGCTCTGAGCTATCAGCACAGAGCCTGATGCGGGGCTTGAACCCACAAGCCATGAGATCATGACCTGAGCTGAAGTTGGACACCTAACCAACTAAGCCACCCGGGCACCCCAAAAAGGAATCACTTCTTAGGTTTCAGATAAATTAAAACTACTTTATTTAGTTATGCCTATTTGACTTCCATTTTGCTGTCTATTACCTGTACTTAACAGACTACTTTGTTGAAATGGACATTTCCTGATCCTATTAAAGAGCTTGGAGTGTTCCCAAAATTGCCAGCAAAAGCCATTTTTCAAGTTTTTTATGCTCTTAGACTTTAGACACCACTAGGTATTATGATCATCAGCTGCCAAATTGATAGAAAATAGTATCTATACACTGAGTACCAGTTTACTTGCTGTCAGGCCTTTAAATCTTTTTTGCCAGGCTAATCAGTGAAGAAATGGTGCTCTTTAAATTGTAATTCCAATAGTAAGGTTTAAAAAATCTAAGAATTTGAGGGGCGCCTGGGTGGCTCAGTCAGTTGAGCGTCCGACTTCAGCTCAGGTCATGATCTTGCAGTCTGTGAGTTCAAGCCCCGCGTTGGGCTCTGGGCTGACAGCTCAGAGCCTGGAGCCTGCTTCAGATTCTGTGTCTCCCTCTCTTTCTGCCCCTTCCCTGCTCATGCTCTGTCTCTCTCTGTCTCAAAAATAAATAAAAAATTTTAGGGGCGCCTGGGTGGCGCAGTCGGTTAAGCGTCCGACTTCAGCCAGGTCACGATCTCGCGGTCCGTGAGTTCGAGCCCCGCGTCGGGCTCTGGGCTGATGGCTCAGAGAGCCTGGAGCCTGTTTCCGATTCTGTGTCTCCCTCTCTCTCTGCCCCTCCCCCGTTCATGCTCTGTCTCTCTCTGTCCCAAAAATAAATAAACGTTGAAAAAAAAAATTTTTTTTTAAAAAAAAAATTTAAAAAAAAAAACTTAAAATCTAAGAATTTGATAGACAAAAAACATCTCATTTTAACTTAATTTCTTTACTGGCTTGCTGGTGAAAAGGTGATGATTTTCCTTGGTTTATGGGCCTTTTTAATTTGCTCTGTGCATGGCTTACTCATTTTGTCATTTGTTTTTTCTTAATAAATTGTAAGTAGTGTATAATTTCCAGTTTTCCAGTTTACTCTTTGTTATTGAGTGGATATGTCAATTATAGATAGACTTTAGAAATAAAGCTAAATATTATTCATAAGAGAAGATGGAACAAGAATGTGACAACATAAAAAATCCATTGTGTAAATTGTTAGGACATTCAAGTGTGAGAGTTTTATAATTTTTATTCGAGTAGTCAAGTGCTGTTATGACTTAATCACATTTTTTTTGTGTGTTAAATAATAGATCCGAGTGGGACATACTTTTGAAGGATGTGCAATGTTCAATCATAAGTGTGACAAAAACTGACAAGCAGGAAGCTTATGTACTCAGGTAAGTCCTGCAAAAACCAGCTTTTTAGCTACCTGATAACAGTCTGAACCATACATTCATTACATGGAATCGCAAATTGTTCCTCTGGATTTTAGTTCTATAATCATTTTTACTTTGAGAAATATAGTATGAAATAAAGTTTTGTTTGTTTGTTTGTTTAAGTTTATTTACTTATTTTGTGAGGGAGAGAGAGAATCCCAAGCAGGCTCCATGCGTCAGCACAGAGCTCAACCTCATGAACCCTGTGAGATCGTGACCTGAGTTGAAACCAAGAGTCTGGACACTTAAACTGAGCCACATAGGCACCCCTAAAATGTTTGCTTTAGATGTCCCAGTGTGTTCTGAATTTTTACCTAATAGCTCTTCAAGATGGTTGCCATCTTTACCTCCTTGTAGTTAGCAGAAAGTATCTGTAAAAGGTGGTAGAGTGGCATTGTCCTTTTACCCTCAGCCCCAGATAGAGAGGCCTTCCTGTTTAGTGTATGCCTCTCACTGTCAGAACTTCGAGCAAAGTGAAAACTTAGCTTCTTCCTGTAAATACAATTGCTATAATAGAAGAAAGCCATTCAACATGTTTATAGGTACAAAGCTAATTTATTCAATGAAAATACTAATTTCTTATACATGTTATAATGGACCTTGGGGCTACTGGATTAACAAAGTACATAAGGTGTCTGGTTTGTTTTTATCACATGCTTATTATGTGCTAAGAATATAATGGTGAGGGGCGCCTGGGTGGCGCAGTCGGTTAAGCGTCCGACTTCAACCAGGTCACGATCTCACGGTCCGTGAGTTCGAGCCCCGCGTCGGGCTCTGGGCTGATGGCTCGGAGCCTGGAGCCTGTTTCCGATTCTGTGTCTCCCTCTCTCTCTGCCCCTCGCCCGTTCATGCTCTGTCTCTCTCTGTCCCAAAAATAAATAAACGTTGAAAAAAAAAAA